GGTATTTGTTTTATTCCCATAACAATCCTCATTTTCATTGCTGCTCATGTTTCCAAGTAACCTAACTGTGTGCCAAGCCTACCTTAAAACTCCTCTGAAACAATGGTGATGAATTGGATCTTCTTTGTCCCTACAAAGAGAAGGCAATTAGAAGGAAACATACTGAAACAAAACAATACAGTAATACCACATGAAGATACCCACAGCAGTAATTCACATGATCCCTATTAGTTGCCAAGTGACAGATTTGCCTAGTGACAACTGAATTAACATGTCTTTATTAATCATTTAAATTACTATAGAAAAAAGCCTGTGCTGCCACATTTGCCTGACAGCAAGATATCAGGCTCTACCTGCTACACATGCATGCTGGATTCATTATAGTCATAACATGTATAAAGCAATCATAAAGAACACACCTCTGAACAATGGAAGTTGCAAACAATGTCATTTTTTTTTTTAATGTATATTTACATTTAAGTGCATTACTTCCATGGTAAGAGATTTTTGTGACAACTCGTAAGCAACAGAGGCAGAATCTTGCTGATGCTACACACCTTGTCTCAAACCATGACAACGCTGCAAAGCACTCGCAAACGTCAAGGCACAACCATCAAAACAAACAAGATTACTGTGAATAAAAGGATCCACCCAGTGCAAAGCACACAGGAGCAAGAGAGTTCAGCAATAGCCAACAAGAGCCGAGCCTTTGAGAACAGGGAAGAGGCAGGCAGAATCTTGCAAATTAAACCTTCCAAGAAACTTAGTGGAAAGAAGCAGCTACTGGTCTCTCAAGTTACTTGAAAGCCTCATTTGCTACTACTTAACTTCCTTTGCCTAGAGAAAAATAAGGAAAACCACTTTGTATCGAGCAGCAAACAGCCAGAAGTGGTTCCACTACTGCAGGAGCAGGGTGAGATTTCCCAGCACCTCCTTGTAATGAAGCAATCCCTCCAACTGTACAGCCCACCGTTAGCACTTGAAATTAGAAGCAGGCACAGCTGGGGGGAGATGGTCAATGAAGAATTTTTAAAATTTTGTTTAAATATACATTTGCACACAATATGGTCCCCATTCATTTGGGTGAAAGGAATTAAAACACAAACAAACCTCCAGGTTTATGTGGTTTCCTTGTTGTGTTTTTTTGTTTTTCGTTTTTTAATGTAACAAAGCTGTGATGTGACCTAAAATAATACCTGTCTACGTTGCAATACATTTCCCACAGCTGCATGATCCACACAGGATTAGAAATCAAGTGCTGGTATCCCATTGCTGCAACACCCCTTGCCAATAGAGCAGCTAGAAATGCACATAACTACAAAAAGCCATGCTATGCAGTTAATATTTGGAAAATAAACGTGGACGCAAACAAAAGACTGAGATATCTGCTCAGCCAAAGCAGATCAATATTATTCTTTCATTCAAGATGTAAGCACTGATCAAGATTTAGAGCTCTAGGATTCAGCAGTGCTTTTAACTGTAAGTTTTGAGCTCCACAGATTAAATCCTGATACATGAGGAATTAATGAGAACTTAACTGCCAAATACAGAGGAATCAATTTCAGACATTCCTTTCACTTCAGAATCAAAAACAATGTCTTTTAACACAGTTAGCTGAGCTGAGTTAATAGGAAAATAGTTTTAATTCTGAAAAATGATTGGTTTGCTGAAGAACAAGCATAAATACAGAGACAGACATGGCACAGCAGTGTAAGGTGCTGTTGGGCTGCTTCAGAAAGAAGCTGGGTGAAGGAAGCAAGCAGGCTGGAGCACAACATGAGGAAAAACAATGTGGAGAAGCAAAGAGCAAGAACTCAGCCCTCTGCCCATGGAGGTGTTGTTCCTGGATTTCTACAGACTTCAGTACAAGCCACACAGAAATGTGACCTTCACTTTCTTTCCAGATTACGGAGACAAACTTGTACACACACACAAAAAAAAAATCAAACCTTACTTCTCACAACACTCATAAGCAACTTAAGGTGGGATTCCACCTCCAGCACTGCTGAAGCATCAGAACGTGCACTGTTTCATGAAGAGCACGAGGAGAGCAGAGAACAAAGCTGGAAAGGGTAACACCAACTGTGTTTGGCTGGAAACTGGAAATCAAATCCAACTGAAAGGACTGAAAGGATGCAGAGATTATCAACAAGAAAGAAGACAGTCTTAGACGAGCGATGGAAGCCTTCCATTTGGGGATAGTTAGGAGATGGCAGAACTACAGGGCTTGTTACGAGGCTCTGAGCAATGCAGCACAAACCCCATGCGCTACAGCAAACGAAGAGGTGATCTCTGAAGATGAGCATAAGCCCCAAGATGTTCTGTGGTCACTCTTGGAAGAACCTTAAAGCACTGGAGTGCAAAAGAGTTAAAAAGACACCTGCAGACATTTTTAATTACAAATACGGGGTATTTGCAGAGAAACAAGTGACATGCAAGCATAAAAGGATTTGAAGGTTTTGAAAGCGTGTAGTGAAAATAATAAAAAAAAACCCTCTAACCTCAGTATTGAATAAATACATTAGCAGCTTCAGGAATATAGCATACCATCTAGGCTGAGGGGAGAAGAATTAAAGTTAGTGTAATATCAGCAGAAGTAGGAACTTATTTTGGAACCTGACTCGTGGCTTTGGCAAGTTACAAAGGCACAGACTTATACCAGAAGATGCACTGTTTCTTTTTGCACTCATTCTCACTCCCTTTAAAAAGGAATCAGGCACTGTAAGACAGAGGTGATTATATATCCATCCATGAAGGAAGAGCTCCACTTTAAAGGTGAAGAACAATATTCCAGGGGCACAAATCCCAGAGACAACATCCTCCTCAAGGCAAAGTGAAAAAAACGGTCCTTGCTTTTACTGTTGTCACAATCCAGAAGTCGCTCTAAGAAAATAAAAATCTAAAGAACAAACATCAGAAAGCACAATCTGAAAGTTCAAGGGATTTTATCAGGTTTTAAAATTCGTAAACAAAACCAGAGCTCTAATCAAGAGCAGAAAATTGACCGTGTGCCATCAAACAACGCAAACCACATAAAGGAACAGGGAAGGATCTTCCATTCCACCTAAAACACCTGTGACCTCACAAAGATCTATGCCAATAGGCCTCACACCATCCCCATGAAGATGTGCATGCCCAGCTGCTTTATTTAAGCTTTGATTTTGTTTGTAAAGTATAGGGGGTGTGGCTTTGTACTAAGCCATTGATGTTTGGAATATTGTGTTGCATAGAAGTTACTTTTTTTTTTTTTTAAATAGGGTTATTTTATTCACTTAGTGTTCATAGAAGAAAAAAAGATTAAAGTTTAATACTAATATATTGTTCCCACCTTGAGAATATGGATGCATCCCTGAAATGAAACCAGAAGCAAAAGATCAGTTTTCATTTCCCCAAAAGGGGAGGAGTTAACAGTGTTTCTGTTGGATCCATAAAAGGCTGAATAGTTTTGCATTTGCAAAGCAACATTGTAAAGATAGCAGCTTCAGAATAGACAGGCTCCTCATAAAGTTGAATCAACATTAAAAAATGGAGACAAGTGTTAACATTTTGCAGAATATAAATGCAGTTCTGAGAACATCAATGGATCTTTTCAGAGAGTTGCTATATAAATAATATCTCGCATAAGAAAAAAAAAAAAGGCTAAAGGAAAGAAAAACTCACAGCTCATTTTAGTAATGGTCTGATGGTTCTCCATGGCATGAAAGAGAAAGGACACTGTAGAAGACATCAACGTAAAGCAAGGATCTGATGCAGACACCATGCTATTGTGCCAAAACAGCATCCGTAAGCAATGGAGAAAACATGCTGCACCATGTAGAAAACAAAATGTTATTTATGGGGTAAAGCAGCCATACCACAGGGTGTGAGGGCAAAGAAAATGCGAGAACCCTGCACATAGCAGCCTAATGAAAGTTAGTTCTTAAAGCTCCAACACAACTCCGCCACTGCTATCTGAGTCGCAAAGACATCATTTCCAAGTGGGCCTCACACTGCCTCCTCTCTTCGAGGTTAGAAGACTGGCTCCATCGAGATGAGGACAGAGCTACACGTTAACGATCGCTGCCAGAACATACAAACCTTCCGACTTATTTTAAGCGTTTCATCTGCTCCAGTCCCCGGCTGTAAATCGGGATAGGAGGGAAAAGCGGCCCAAAATACAGGCAGTAGGAAAAGCAGCCGGGCCAGGAAGATGCACGGACAAGGGGAGACGCGTCGAGGAGTCAGGGACTGGAGCCGGAGGAGGCGCTCGGACAGGTGCACGCAGGGCTCTGCCGCCCGCCCCAGTGCCTCCAGCCCGGCATCGAGGGAGCTGAGGAGCACCGCTGGGCCTGCCGGCACCCACCTGGGCCTGCCGGGATTCCCGCGGCGAGCTCAGCACAGACTTCTCCGCATCCTCCGGCTCCTCCCCGGCGGCCGCCTCCGCTCCCTTAGGCTGGCCTTCACCGCCATCCTTGTCCTCCTCGTCGTCGTCGTCTTCCTCCCAGGTGGAGTCGTACCTCCAGAAGCACGTCTCGTCCCCGTCCTCGTCCTCCTCCGCCCTGAAACTGAACCAGGCCGCCATGGAAAGCCGGCAGAGGAAAAGGAAAGCGAAAGGAACGCCGGGCCGGCCCGCACAAAGCCGGAGCACGTGGGTCGGGGCGGAGGAGGTGGAAGCCCGGCACGCCCCGCCCCCTTCCTGCGGCGCGGCGCCCCATTGGGCAGCAGGCTGCTCCGCGCGGTCCTAGCGCCCGCCCGCCCGGCCCGCAGCCAGTCCAGCTGAGGGAAGAGAGGAGGGAACGGCAGCCTGCAGTCAACGAGCGGCCAGAGCGAGACTGGCTCTTGTTCCCGTGCTAGCTAAACGGTGGTGGAAACGGGGTGCTGTACGAATGGGAACTTTTCTCCTTCCATCAGCAAGACTCGGGTGCGCGAACACCCCTGCTGCTGCAGTACAGTGCACGTGAACACAAGCGTGGGGTGGAAAGGAAGCTAGGACTCTTGGTTCCTCACCTTAAAGACAATACTGATAAAGTAATTCTTTTTATTAACCGCTCGTCGATATGGTGAGACAAATTCAGCCACGTTTCAGCCTCTTTCAGTCACCATTTCACACGTTGGTTGACCGCAGTCCATCTTTTCACAACTCAAAAATAGTAATTTCTATCAAATCTTACTATTCTGGTATATAAAAGGTAAGTGTTACAACATCAGTAACATTTTAAATTATAGAACAGGAACAACGCTTTGCAACACCAATTCCACATCAATAAAACTGCTTAAAAATAAATAATGAAGTACAAAACCTGCTGTTACATACGACTGTGGTACAGACAGATGAAGCAACATCTCCAAGTTCAGGCACAGCTCAGCTGATCCCTTTCAAAACCACGCGAGTCCAGTGGATATTTAATTTAGGACTCATTAATAATCCTCCTTACAGGTGTTGTCATTTTCACTTCAGTTACAGTATACAAGCTTAGCAAGATTGAAAAAAGTTACATTACTAACGGTAAAAGAAGTAGATTTTCCTCCAGCAAATGGTGTGAAAGAATACCTCAGCACAGCAGTCGTATTTAAAAGGATTTTGGTTTTACTGAACCAACAGATTCAGATATTTGATACAAATGGTATGTTTGGACAAATGGCCAAACAGCATTACCCACAGAGGGTCTGTGATGTTCAAAGACAGCAACCAAGCAAAGGCGAAAACAACCAGTTCAAAATTTATAGATACAACCCCTCTATTTTCCATGAATCGAGGCTCTGTGTCTCACTGAACACTTCTTTCAGGAGCTGTTCCTTGGAAATACAAACACTGCAACTGTTACATATGCATAAACCCTCCCTGCTGCCAGCTTTCTCCCTGAGCTCCCTGAGCAGGTTGCCACCGTGCAGTCTGGTGCCACGGCACAAACAGATCAAGGATGGGCACAAAGTCCTGTATGCATAAAGGCAACGTGCAGGTTCTTCAAATACCTGGCTCAGATATCATTTCCTTTGTGAGAAACGTTTATCTAATGACAATCCTACTATTTGTTTTTAATATTCCCTCCTCACGTTCCACAGTCAGCTACTTCTGTTGTTCACAGCTTTATGTCCTGCGTCGTTTCGCAGCGCTGGGGCTGGAAGGGTTGCTGTTGGCATTTAAGACCTTTTCAGTGACTCTGTTGCGTTTCCTCTTATCAGATCCTTCTTTGGACCCAGAATCTGACAAAGTCTTCTCCTTCTCTTTGCTGCTTGGCTTCTCAGTTGTTTTTCCTAAACTTCCAGAGGGTGTAAAAACTGAAATAGGACCAAAGTAATGAGTCCAGATCAGACTCATGCACGTAGGCAAACAAGAACTGATATAAAATCTCTTCATATTACATTAAACTTATCCAATAAATACATTCTCAGCACCTTTAAAGATCCTTTAAGTACTACTTTCATTTTTAAAAAGGCATGGCTTTCTTTTATTACTTGATTTTGAAGATGGGCATGCATGTTGAAGGATAGAAATGACATTCATTAAGTGGAAACAAGCAGCACTTAAAATACTTAATGGGAATATCTTATATAGGACCAATCTGTGAGATTTATAATTAGCACTGCTCATTACATTTGGGATTTGAGATAGGTTTTGAAACAGAACACCCAAAATGTGAAACTTCATATATTTTTAAAATACATTTTTAGACCTTTTATTACACTGATCTTTAAAACACTTATTCTGCAGTATGATGACATTATGCAGCTAACAGTTGGCTTGGTCTGTTAAGGGAAATAGCAGGATCTCTACTGCCTGTGCTTGACTTTGTTCTACAGCAAAACATTTTTCAAAAGTAAGCTTTTCCGTCATTTTAAGAGGCAAGATAATGCAAAACAAACAGACAAAACCCCATCCCACTCTGCTCTCCTTCCCATTGTAGCATCTCAAGTTTTGATTTATTGGCCTTAATTTATCTTAATTCAAATAAATTTAATTTAAACAAATAAAATCACAGAATGGCCCGGGTTGGAAAGGACCTCAATGATCACCAACCTCCAACCCCCTGCCACGTGCAGGGCCACCAACTTCCATATCTAATACCAGACCAGGCTGCCCAGGGCCCCATCCAGCCTGGCCTTGAGCATCTTCAGGGATGGGGCATCCACAGCCTCTCTTGGCAGCCTGTTCCAGCACCTCCCTCTTACAGTAAGGTGCTGGAACTCTTATAGTGAAGAACTTCCCCCTGACATCCAACCTAAATCTTTCCTCCCTCTACTTAAAACCACTGTCCTGCAGTCATCAACCTTTCCAAAGAGTTGACTCCCCTCCTGTTTATAGGCTCCTTTTAGGTACTGAAAGGCTGAAATTAGAAGCTACAGAACTGCGCACATGAATTAGGAGCAAGGCAGAAATCTCCAGAAGAATCATATGCTGGCAACTGCTTATTCTGTGCACTCTTAGGTTACTCTACTTCTTTACATTTGAACAGAAATCACAAAATCCACTATATATGATATTTACATATGATATTTACATTTTAACATCAATTTTTCAGAAATACAGTTGGTTTTTTAAATCTCATTACACAGCAGAGAGTTACAAATTTACCTTCTTCTGGACCTGCATGTGTTTCCATCTCTTCTTTTATCTCCTCTTTCATTTCTTCTTCAATCATCACTTTTCCTATGGAATTGGTCATTAAGCAATGGTTAGATGGTTATGAAGAACCATACAGAGGTTTCTTCCATTAGCAACCTCAGCATATGTGCAGTGTGTGCAGACATTAGACATAACAGTAATGTTCTTGAGAATTAAAGCATACAAACTATCCTAAAAATAACCACGTCCTAACAATAAAAATGCAAGGGTTATACCAGCAACAGGTATTTGCTGCAAGTCCAAGTCAAATGGAAGTTTCTTCTGCACTGAAACTATAGATATACAGTAAAAGTATATTTCCAGTGTATGCTTTGAAACATTTGCTGACAGTGCTGTTCAGTGGCCTTAATCATTCATATTCAACATGTAGTCACAGAAATATTATATACAATGTATATAGAGAAATGTTATTACACTCCACAGCTTCCTTCTGAAAAGATCTTGCTACGGACCACAGAAAAGTGCACAGATGATCAATTTCAGCAAAAAGGTCCACCTCAATCCAACAGAAGTCTCAACAAAATGCAAAACCACACAATAAACAACCAACTGCAAAGAAACACAAACAGGCAGCAGTAAAGCACGTGGATTTTTTGTCTACCCCCAGAAGCTGAATCTACAAGCAGGTACAAACAGAACCTGCTTGTGCCATATTAGCATTCATCTTTATTACATTTAAGAATACAAGGAATACTGTGTGGAGTTTGACCAAAGGTCTGTCTTGCCCACTAGCCTACTTTCTACAGCAGAGAATCAAAGAGGCTGATAAATGGGGAACATGAACAACACCAGCAGGGTGATCCTTTCCCCGATTATTTCCTTCAGCCAGCAGATTCAAGAGATGTATCTGTTCTCTTCTTTTTCATCAGTACACCTAACACACCAGTCTGAAAGAATAGCCATGTATTTATGCTAGTAGGGTACATTGTTATGTTCTTTTCTGGGAGTTCTGTTAAGCTATTTGTTCTGTGATGGGCCTAGAGCAACAAAGAAATAAAAGATTTCTATCACATCTTACCTTCTCTCACTTCTTGAATCAGTTCATCAGGAAGAATAAAATTCTTCTCTATATTTGGAAATGGAAGAATCTCAGATTCATGCTTGGTAAGAAAATAAAGATTTTTATGATTGATCTTGGTAAAAATAAAAATATATATATATAGAATAGAAATGCAATCTCAAGCTCTATTTTAAGTGCACTTAGTAGCCAAATAATTTTTAACGATTCTCAGATACTACAGCGTAAGGATGCTCCTGATATCAAACTGGTTCCTAAGTTGAGATCACAACTCATGACCATTAGAGACCACTTCTGGAATGATACTGTGGCAAATTCTTAAATATATATATAAGCTGTCTGTTTGGTACCTAAGTACATGTGTAAATGTTTGCTGGATCAGCTCTTAGGCGATTAAAAATAAAAAGAGAATAAAATCAGTAAAAAGTCAGAACTCAGTATGGCAAAAACGAAAACACAAACCAAAACACGGTAAGTTTTATTGCCTCCCACCCAATGCACTTTCATACAGGAAAAACATCACCTCACTAGAACACACACAGCGTTCTGTAGCTTGAGAGCTGTCAGGTGCCAGGGATTACAACCAGTCAGGACTCCATTATACTCACAAGAGCCTGCATGTCATACATGGTGCTCAGATGGTCCCAAATCACTTTGGAAGAAATCTGCCGTCCGATATTCTGACTGAATTTATCTCGGATACAAATCATGTGAAAATGGCGATTCACACCTGGGGGGAGAACTCAGTGCAATTAACACCGCCAACAGCTTGATTTGTGTCACAAGATAATATCAATCATTAAACAAACAAACTATAATCACAGGGAAATCACAGAATGGCCAGGGTTGGAAGGGACCTCAAGGATCATGAATCTCCAACCCCTGCCATATGCAGGGCCACCAACCTTCACATTTAATACCAGACCAGGCTGCCCACGGCCCATCCAACCTGGCTTTGAACATCTCTAGGGATGGAGCACCTACAGCCTCTCTGGGCAGCTGTTCCAGCACCTCACCACTTCCCGCTGACATCCAACCTAAATCTTCCCTCCCTTGATGGGGACATTATACAGTACGGCGAGAAGAACGGCATCCCGTCAGCACAGCCCGGCTGTTTCCGCACCCTGCACCGCAGGCGCTGTTCTGGAGAGAGGCTGCGGTTGCCGCACTGGCGGTACTTCCACGTGAGACCGCAGCCACAGCTCCAAGAGAAACGCTGCCACTGAATAACCCCGGCAGGACAGGCAGACAGGAGGGCGGGCCGTGCGCGCCGAGGAGCGCGGATCGGGAGGGGCGAGCACAGCTCTGCACAGCGCTCGGGCCGCCCGGGTCCGGAGGCCGCTGGGATCGGCAGCCCAGGCAGCGCCCGCCCGGCCCCGGCGCCCGCATCTCCAACCCGGCCGACGCCGCTACTCGAGGCCGAGGCTCTGCGCGGCCTGCTCTCACCTACGGGCTTGTGGCCCAGCATGGCGTGGAAGAGGCAAACCTCCACTTCGGGGCTCCACACCACCACCGCCTCTTCCGCCGGCACTCCGGGCTCCGGGGCGGAAGCGGCTGCCGCCGCGGCGGCCGCAACAGCAGCGGCGGCGGCAGCGACCGCCGCGGCGGTCCCGGGGCCGGCCGAAGGCAGCGGCGGTTTCTCCGCGGCGGCGTTAGCCGCGCCGCCCTCCGCCTCGCCCATGGCCGCGCCGTGCCGTGCCGCCGCGCGGCGCCCTCTGCCGTTCCCCCGCGCCGCCTCCGCAGCGGCTCCTGGCGGCCGGAGGAGCGGGCTGGGCGCGCTACCCGCCCTGTGCTGGAGGGGGGGGGGGGGGGGGGGGGGGCAGTTGTGAGGGGTTTTACCTCGAGCTGCTGCCAGGAGGGAGATTTCGCGTGGCACTGCGCGCCTCAGTACCCAAAACTGCTCGTCACTGTCACGGCGCTGTCACTTTCTGTTTTTAGGAACTACATCTCATGCGTTGAGAAGTGCAGAACTCACCTGCTGTGTTCGTCATTTAAGGCATGAAAGTGTTTCATTTGGGAAGAACACGGCAATTCCTCTGTAGTGTGGATTGGTGTTTTTTGGGGTGGTTGGCTGTTATCACATGTGATACCGGCACACATGCACGCACCAGGGCTTCTGTCACTGACGGGATCAGGTTTTCCAGTTGCTCGCTTCAGAACTTAATCCTTTAGGTGACATTAAAATGAGTTCTACAACAAATAGTGATGATATACGTAAAGAACAACTGCTGTGAGTCAGTAATAAAACAGTGTGGGCAGAAACAAGGAGAAAGACATCTTCATGCAAATTGTCCAAACATTGAGAAATAGGAAGGTGAAAACGCTACTGTGAGAAATGGGAATTTTCTGTATGTCTGATACACAAAGAACTAACTAACTCTTATTGCCCAATACCATGCTTGTACCTCAAGCAGATTAACATTCAGGAAACATTTGAAGTGAGCTGAACCCAAAACTTGCAAGCCCTGCGAGGTTTGGAGGTAAGGATGGGGTTGGAAATGGATGATCTCTGAGATTTCTTTCCAACCCAAACAATTCTCTGATTCCATGATTCTCTGATGTTGGATATGAATGCCCAGATACAAATTCTGGTTTCTACGTGGGTTTGGGTAGAAAATGGAGAGGAATCTCTTGCTCAGTCTGGTTTAGATGCTGTTGAAATTTTTCAGGAATCCCTGTTTCTGTGACAGCCTGAATCACAGTGACAGAAATCTTGATGTGGGAAAGCCATTCCTGCAAGACATCAGGATTCTCCAAAATATCTTTTCTGTCTGCTGTCAGCTCTGTACCCACATCCTGGTTGTGACAAATTTGCCTCCGCACACTTTTGCCTTCACAATAGTTTCCTCATTATGAGCCATAATTACATATCAACTCAAATTTGCTGGTCTTCAGTAGAAATCCACATACTTTCCCATTAAATCCAGCCCTAAATCCAAGAAAACTCTCAGACTTGTTTAGTCTTCCAATGTTTATTTGATCTATGCTGCTACCTAGTCTTACTCTGCTATCAAGAGAGGGTTATGATTTTCTGTGATGGCTGCACAGCAGGAGTAAATGAGTTCCTGAACAACTAAATTCCTGCTTTATACACATGTTTCTAGGCACAGAAAAATGAAGGACGAAAGGAAAGAAAGTAAATTGAAGAGTAGAAAAATTGTCCCCCAATAGAGTAGTTTTCTAAATTTTACAAGAATTTTTTATTTTATTTTTGTAAAGTCTGTATGAAATGCTGAGCTTCAGCAATCTCATCTGTCAAATTATGCTTCTGCTTAAATGCTATCAAGAGGGAATAACTGTATTAACTCAGATAGCAATTTTTATGACATTGAGTTCCAAGGATTAAAAAAAGGAGACTGAAACTGAATGTACAGAACATATGGCTACCTCTGGAAGTACAATAGCATCTGAAAATAATTTAATTCAATACAATAACATTAATTGAACAGGAAGAGTATATACATAAATTGGTTGCTATTTTGTTTCAATCACAAATAATTACATTTCCCTGTGTCTAAATGTCCTTATTTCTTCAAATGCCTCTAGGAAACATATGGGAACATATAATTATGCCATGTGCAGCATCTGCATGGATTAGGACCAGAGTTAAATTTTTCTCTTCTTATACGTTAGATGTTTTTTTCCCCTCGTTGAACAGATTTTTCAGATTCTGACACTTTTACCCTTTGCTTGTTCAGGTTTAAATCTCACTCGCAGCTTTAAGTAGGCATCAGCAATATAAGTCATGCGTCATTTAGATTTTCTCCTTTTCTTCCCACATTTGAGGAAGGAATTCATTCTTAGGAATACAGCTGACTGTTGTAACAACTAAGGGTGCTCAGCCCTTTGCTCTCCCCAAGAGACATGATATGTCATAAGGCATTGAAGTCTGAACAACTGAGAATTATGCTCAGCATTTGGCATTGTCTCTAGAAGAATCAGATTTGTGGGATAAGCAATATAGCTACAGCTATTTCTGTCATTATTTTTGAGCACCGTGTGTTAATGCTTGTAATAAAATTAAAACTTCACTCTGAATACCCAGTGACTTTTGGTACATCATATAGACATTTGTAAAAGGAATCACATTTGAATACTTTTGTATTAAAATCAGTTTGCTAATTGATTTTAGTGCATCTTTGGTATAGAATCTAAAATCTTTTTTCTAATATAAGTAGATGACACCTCTTGAGACCCTTAACGAGCATTACCATTTATTCTATAGATAGAATAGCACACATAGATTTCTACATGCAGAAATACATGCATTTGAGGCACCTTCCTGCAGCAGATCACTCAGGGACCAGCAGACCTTCAAACAAGAAAAGTAATCTCAGTGCCTTGACATCTTTCAATATTCCCCAATAACATATTCTTTGTGATAAGGACCTCCTGAAGAGTTCTGATCTGATTTGTAAGCTTTTCAAAATCTGTTATTTCAGTGTGAAATGTGTGGGAAGTTTTTCTTTAGCAGAGCTGGATGGGGAGTTGGAACTATCAGTGGTGGTAGTTTGAAATAGATCTGCTTTTCTCCAATAGGACCTGTCAAGAAGGAAGAATCAAAAGGATGAGAAGCCTCTGTGTTGTTGGAGTCCTATCACACAGAGCTCTTTAGAGAAGTGCTGCTTCTTCCAGCCGAGAGGCAAGAAGATGCTGCCCAGGTTTCTTCCAATTACCCAAGATCTTAGCAAAAAGCTCTGTTTGATTGTTTCAAACAGGAACGTTGAACAGGGAGTGCTCTCTTAAACTTGGCCTGCAAATCTTCTCACAGGAGCACAAATACTGCATTTGGTTCTAAATAAGGTGGTGAAGGGGAAGCAGCATAAGAAAGAGAAGCAGCTGTCAGACAGAGGATACGTTCTGTTTGATGAGACATATGTTCTTCAGCTGAACTTTTCCCTTGTGATCTGTTGTGCTCATTTTCCCAGCAGAGAGAGGCTACATATTAGATGGGCATCAGATGGCAAGCCTTAGAAAAATAGATTGAAAACAGCGCAAATAATTATCTCTAAGCACGCACAGAGGCATTCATTATTGCTACTGTTACGCTTCGAAACATCACGGTGCAGAGTGAGGAGAGGGAAAAGAAAAGCCATCTCACTTATTTCTTCAGTTTGAAACATACATCATGTCCCAGGCTTACAAAGAAGCTTTAAAAAAGAACCAGTGATTGTAGCATGAACCAATTCCAGGTAAGCACAAGAATCAATTCATGAATGCCTGGATGCCCCAAGTCAACATCAGAAGACTTCACAGCACAATTTATTGAAGGTGATTTTCACTGATAGTGCCTAAATTGCCTGCCAACCTAAACGCACACTATCCAATCTGGTCAGTAGAAATTTAAGGACGTGTTTTTTTCCTTGACAGTGGCATTGCTGCAATCAGAATTGTTCTAATAACCGTTTTCTTCTTGGAGGCACTATTTTTTATCCATCTTTCAAAACAAAATTACTACTTTAAGATAAATTAAAAAAAAAATAAATAGCTTGCATAAACTTAAAAACAGTCTTCAGAAGTACAACAGACAAGTATTAAACCTGACCAGCTGACAGTAAAACAACAGCACTTCATAGTCAGCCTTCTGCTGTGGAGAAGGGTGGCAGCAGATTTTCACTACGTATGTGGTACAAAAGTACACTCCTATAGGCACATGCAAGCCTTTATGGGAATATGCAAGTCAGGGATTGAGGGGATTCTGTTAAGGCTTTTTCTTTTGCATGTCAACTTTGAATACCTGAGGACATTCACAACTACCCTTCAGCAGCATCTGTTAGGGAACAACATCTGGGTGATAAACATTACTAAGATTGCTTCCTAGAACGGATCCCATGCATTGGCAAACAATGATGTGCCAGGAACAAGCTCCAGGTGCAGCAGGCCAGGCAGTGCTGTTACAGAAAACTGTGGAAACTGCAGGCCAGTTTGAAATTTGCCTTGCAATGATGATGTCAGTAGCACCATTCAGGACTAATGTGAGTCGATTCTTCAAAGAAAGTCTGAACTTGCCCAGTACATAGAAATACAGCTCTAGATGTGACATGTCTCACAAACAAGAGTCTACAAACTGTTAGTATCTCTTTCTTCATGAGCAGTGGAGAATGGACCTGTCCTACCTCCTGTGTGTTTTACAAACGCTTCCATTTTGATTCCAAAATTTTAAGCCTGATGTTTTATTTACAGAGCCAAACTAGAGCTGTATAGTTCTCAGTTTGTCCACATATATGAAGAACATAACTATTCACATAAACAAATACTTGATAAATCAGCTTGTTTGATAAAAGGGCTAGACACGTTGAAGTAAATTCCTCACTGTGTATGAAGTAGAGTCCATCACACTAAAAAGGAATTGGATTCCAAGAAATCATTGGTGTATTTTCAGTGACTCTGTTGGTAGGAGATGCTCTAACTTAGGTCAGAGCTTGCTTTCTAGCAAACAGATGCTACTGTGTCAGACTGGGAGCAGCTTCAGCTGGAGTTGCCTAAGGTCTGTGAGTTTTGGCCTTCATTATTGCCAATGAATCCACCGCTGTCTTTGATGAACAGTAAAACCAATTGCAAAAATTATGCTTCAGTGTTAAGGGGAACAAAAATCCACTGATATCAGCAAAAGTGGAATTTCATACAGGCTGTATTCTTGTCTCTACTTGTTCAGCAGGTAAGGGGACATCAGTAAGGAGA